ATAGTGGCAAAGGACCGGTGAGATCGTTAAAGCTGAGATCGAGGCTGATCAGATTGCTTAACGGTTCTAGTTTGGTTGGTAGGCTTCCTGTCAAATTGCTCATAGGCAGAGATATGTGTGTCAACTTATCCCATGAACAACTAGGCAAGCGTAGGAATAATTCTGTTATCCTTCCATTGATGTTATTTTCGCCTACAAGGAGTTCTTCCAAGCTACATAGGTTCTTCAGGTTTGATGGTATCATGCCCACAAGGTTATTCATTTGTAAATCAAGCCTTACTATGGAGGTCATGTTACCTATCTCGTCCGGAAATTGGCCATAGAAACCATTCCATGAGATATCTAGATACTTAAGGCTAGTTAAACCCCAAAACCAGTTGGGTGTGATACATGTATGGAAGTTATTGGCAGAAAGGTCTAGTCTTTCAAGAGATGTCAGATTTGAAAGCTGAAGTAATCCGGAGCTAGTTCTAAGGAAACAATTGCGGAGGTAAAGAACTTTCAGAAATGGAAGCATGTTCACCACCGGAAGCCAGTGAACAACTGTACTGAGGTCCACGAAGGTCAGGTCTAGGTGCTCAAGGGAAGTTAACCGTGACAGCCAGGTGATACCATTGGAGTATGTATTAGAAGCGAGATTTAAGTACCGTAGGCTGGAGAGATTTCCCAGCTGCGGTGGTATCCTTCCCGTGAACATTGACATAGATAGGTCGATGTATCTCAACTTGTGGAGAGAACCCACGAACTCCGGTATTTGCACCCCATCGAACCCATTGCAGCTGAGGTTGAGATACTGTAGTTGTTGCAAACCAAGCAACGAGGAGCTGATGTTGCCTCCCAGCACTTGCGTCATCGTATCGTCATTATGGTCGCAACCATGGCCCGGGAGATCGAGCTTGACAACGTGGTTGTTTCTGCTGCTGCAATGGACGCCCTTCCATTTGCAGCAGTCATCACCCTTCCACGATGAAAGGAGGTTCGCAAGGTCCAAGAGGCCTGCTTTGAAGCCGACAAGCGCGGATCTCTCGTGGGCGATACAGCCGGTGACTGTATCGTTTGGATGGGAATATGATGATGATGATTCTATAACCCCCTTTCCATGGGTGAGCACGAGAAGGGCAGCTAATGTCGCTACGTGAATGTGGGAGAGTAGAAGCTTGTCCATTGGTGCTTTTCCCATGTGTGCCTGTGTTCTTGTTGTAGCATACATACGCCATGCATGGTTTGCTATATATAGTGTATATTATCCAACAATATACGCTTCATTTGCTCCTGAAAGTAAAGAAAAATCTCAAAGGGTCGTATTATTGAGATTTCTGTGATGCTGACCTGCCATAAATGTGAGTACAGCTTGGAGGAGAAATTTCTACAGGGGAAAAGGATACCGTCGGCCATTCTAGGCCGAATTTCCGTCCAGGTTCAGCGAATGTACGTCCTCTCTTCTTTTTCAAAGATAATACTCCCTCCGTTCGGAAATACTTGTCATTAAAATGGATGTATCTAGATGTATTTTAGTTGTAGATACATCCATTTTCATCCATTTTGATGACAAGTATTTCCGGACGGAGGGAGTACTACTCCCTCCGTTCCTAAATGTAAGTCTTTCTAGAGATTCCAATAAGAGACTACATACAGAGCAAAATGAGTGAATCTACACTCTAAATATGTCTATATACATCCGTATGTAGTTCATAGTGAAATCTCTAAAAAGACTTATATTTAGGAATGGAGGAAGTACAAGCATTTCCAAATGAATGAGACTGCTGGCTGACTGAATGAGGAGCACAGCAAACGACGACCTGGGTATGATGACTTGGAATTCCAGGCATCAGGGTATTATTGAGGTTGTTTTCGCGTTACCGTATACGGCAGGGCCTCCGGCCATATCTTCTGGGAAGTGAATGAAAGCATCAGGACCATGTACATACCTCAAGGTGAGTGATGCACATCAATTATTGATTTTCAGTAGTGAGTAGTCCTTTCGAATTATTTGCGCAGAACAAATGAGCTCACCAGGCAAGCATCATTTCTTTTGCGGTTCAGTGGTTGCGATTGCGATGGAGGTGCACAAGAAATCAAGCATGAAATTTCCGTACCATGTGCACAACCTCTTTGATCCTGAATTTCACGAGCCTGCTATTTACAACGACACAGCAAAGTTGATTGATGAACTGTCATTCACTCACTCACTTGCAGAAAAGAGAGGCTCAAGGAGGGCGACACGCCGTACATGGCCAGGTTCTATGACTCCTGCGGCGCCGAGGACCCCGACGCCGCCCGGTGCGCCACCGGCTTTCACCTCTCCTACGATGCCCCCAAGTAAAAGAGCCAACCAACTAGTACTACGCTTACCTGTTCCTCTTCTGCCAGTGCCTCCTCTATAACAAATGCAGTGTTCTACATGTCTAGTCTGTCACTCTGTAGATCAAATCAAACACCATGCAAGTGATCTCGATTGTGTGAAGAAATCAAACAGTCTAATCAACATAATAAATCCTGTCATGCAGTAGTCTCACTTGTGTTTGACTCTTTGCACAAACTTAATTGTGGCTCATTCAGGCAAGTTAGTTTGTGTGACGAAATCTGAAACTCAAGTAATTGCGGCTGTGCCCAGTATAGTGCATCGAGCGAAAGAATTGACAAAGTAAAATCACTTGTGTTTGACACCCTTTGCACATACTCCCTCTGTTCCAAAATAGATGACCCAACTTTGTACTAACTTTGTACTAAAGTTAGTACAAAGTTGAGTCATCTATTTTGGAACGGAGGGAGTACTTAATTGTGGCTCATCCAGGAAAGTTAGTTTGTTTGACACCCTTTGAAATGTGGGTGCTGCCCTGGCATTATTTATTGCACATCAACTTACACATCCAAACCTTACTCTACAACATAAATACATAATCCTCGAATTTATATATCTGCGAACTCTACATAGTACTGAATGGAGAACCAGAGAGGTAGTTGTCGCTCTCAGCTTCTGCAATTGTCTCTCTTCTCCAGGAAGCCCAGGTAACGGCCACCAGCACATAGACCCAATACATATCCAGAACCCATAGCGATGAAAAACGAAACAATGTCGTTTAAATCGTCATGGTGTCCTTGAGTAGCTGGAATTGGCTCCAGCTGTGAACATTTCCGCAAGTGAGGAGGACCGCAGAGGCCCGGGTTGCCAATATAAATATATTCTGGGTCCTCAAGTGTTTGCAATTGATCTCCGGATGGTACCTCTCCAGTGAGGTTGTTATAGGACAGGTTCAGGCGACTTAATGACGTCAGAGCCGATAGACTTGCAGGGATTTCAGCAGTCAACTCGTTGTGTGACAGGTCGAGTGACTCCACTTTTGTCAAGGCGCCAATATTATCAGGACGAATTCTGGCTGGGAGCAATCCTACCTGAACAGACAAGCTGCATTTGCATTCAGGCAATTCTGCCTGTCTGAATAAGTCTGAAACCTGTACAATAATGTGTTTCTCTAGTGCAGTATAGTGTGTCGACTGAAAGGTAAATAAACCCTTTCCTCTTTTCTTTGACACCCTTTGCACAGATTAAATTCTGGCCGTCAGGAAATCTAGTTCTACTTATTTGATTCAGAGCCTAGAATTTGCACATACTAAATTCTGCCCGTCAGAAATTCTAGTTCTATTTGATTCAGAGCTTAGAATGAGATGGGGAAGTATAATATTTCTCCAATGAAAGTCTGAAGCCTGTACGTTGTTTCTCTAGTGAAGAAACTACGTTCGCGCCCAGTATAGCTTTGTGTGTGCACGGGTGTTCAGCTTATAACTTTGGGCACCAATTAATTCAGCCATTGACAGATTGACACACACACACACACACACACACACACAGAACATGGGACTTGGTGTGGCCCCTGGCATTATTCATTACAAATCAACTTTCCATATCCAAACCCTAGTCTACAGCATAATCCACAAAAGTACAATACTTTAACAACATTGATACATGGGAAAATCCGCACACTCAAATGATACATGGGAACATAGAGATAACGTTGTAAATAGTACACCCTCGGTGGGAGTACCTATCACTTATGTAATTGTGTTTGACATTTGCACAAACTTGATTTGTCTGTGGGTAATTCTATGCCTACCTGAACATACATGACATGTTTGCATCCAGGCAAATTGGTTTGTCCGAAGTATGAAACCTGTAAAGTGTTTCTGGAGTGAACAAGTATAGAGTCGGCGTAGTAAAATCCTACCCTGTAAGATCACTTGTGTTTCGCACCCTTTGCAAGGCCTGAAGAACACACCTATACTACCCTGTCATAAACTCTGGTTGTCATAAATCCTAGTTCTATCTGAAGACACCTGATGAATTCGATTGAGAGCTTAGAATGAGATATGCAAATTAGTTTGGCTAATAAACTCTGAACCCTGTAGATTGTTGCTCTACTAAAGGAGCTGTGTCTGCTCCCAGTATAGTGCATCGAGTGGAAGCATCGACCGTTTCGGCTGGAGGCTGCTGCCCGTGGCTGCTCAACACCAGTTAATTCAGGCCTTGACACACACACCCGGAACAGGGGACTCCTTACAGCCCACTGCGACGGTGCTGCAGGTACTACGAGCTCAAGGACACGTGCCAAGTTGAACTTATAACTTTGGGCATGGACACACACACCCGAAACAGGGGATTTGTTGCTGCCCCTGGCATTATTTTCATTAGATATCTACTTTACATACCCAAACCTTGGTTTACACGGCACAATCTTCAAATATGTATCGCTGAACTGTACTAGTACAATACTTACACAGCATTGATACATGGTAAAATCCCCACACTCTGCTTAGTACCAAACGGAGAACCAGAGCGATCTAGCGATCGGTTTTGGCTTCTGCAGTTTTTTCTCTTGCCCAAGAAGCCCAGGTAACGGCCACTCGCACATAGACCCAATCATACAGGTTGTCGCAGACCGAGTACCAATTAACTCTCCATTTCCTGTTGAATAAGAAGATGCAGAAGACTACCCAAATGCCCATTACATATATCCACAACCCATAGCAATGAAAAATGAAACCACATCGGTTACGTCTTCATGGTGTTCTCGAGTAGCTGTAATTGTCTTGGGTTCTGAACAATTCTGTGAGAGAGGAGGTCCACAAAGGCCTGAGTTACCAATGTAAATATATTCTGTATCCTCGAGTGTTTGAAGTTGATCCCCAGATGGTACCTCTCCCGTCAGGTTGTTATAGGACAGGTTCAACCGACTTAATGACGTAAGAGCTGATAAGCTTGGAGGGATTTCACCAGACAACTCATTGTGAGATAGGTCGAGTGACTCCACTTGCACCAAGGCACCAATATTCTCTGAAATTTTTCCACTGAATGTGTTCCATGATAAATTCAGGTTCTTCAATTTGACAAGAGTGCTGATTTCTTCTGGAACATCACCACTAAGATTATTACAGGATAAATCAAGATTCACCATATACATGATCTCTCCTGTATATAATCTCTCTTGACCCTTTGTGACTACCATGACATTGTCGGTATAGGTGAAATCATTCAGGCCAATTGACCATCCATAACCGAGAGCACTATAAACTGCATAATTATAATCATCTCTTGTTGCTATCATCCCTTTGCTGTCAACAATAGATTTTGCTATGCTCCCTGTTAAGTTATTGTAGGCAAGATCCAAATGCTGAAGATTAACTAGCTTTGTAAGCTCCTTTGGAATGTGACCATAAAACATATTTGATCGCAGCCGTAAGAAAGCCAAATATGGCAATTTCTCCTGAATCCATGTTGGCAAAGTCCCAAAGAAATGGTTGTGTGAAAGATCAAGAAAAATGAGTTTTTGGCAGTATTGGAGAAATGAGGGGAATCCACCCGAGAGGTTGTTGTTTCTGAGGCTTAGATTAAGAATATTAAGACTATTCATGTTATTTTTGGATGTAGAATAATCAGGCATTGTTCCGGTTAGCTTATTTTTGGACATGTCCAACAGAAGTAGTGATCTCAGTTTGCACAACGAAGAGGGAATGGAGCCAGAGATGGAGTTGTCAAATAGAATGAGTGTTACAAGCCTCGGTGCTCCGAAGTCTAATGGTAATGGCCCAACTAAATTATTTCCACTAAGATACAAATCCGTCAGATTAATGGGAAGCTTAGGTATTGGACCATTGAACTGGTTAGAACTGAGATCAATTGCAGTTGCTCTCATAAATTCCATTGTTGATGGTAAATAACCGCTAATATTGTTATGTCGCATGTTTAGAGTTTTCACTGTGGAAGCCATCGTCCAAAACCAATCCGGCACCGTGTCAGATATGCTCGTGTTTGAGATATCAAGATTGTCTAGATGTGTTAGCCATCTTAGCCACAATGGAAATTTAGGCCCGAGAAGGCATGACCGAAGTGCAATATTTGTTAGACTGGAAGGAGGAACCCATGTGGAGTTCATTGTGAGGGCTAAGTAATTATTAGACAACCATAAATACTCTAAGCTTTCTAGTCCTGATAGATGACCTTCATGTATGAAGCCTTCCAGTTTATTGTCGCTCAGGTCCAATTTAATTAACTTTGTGAACTTTCCTATCAATAGTGGCACATGACCAGTGAGCTTGTTCATACCAAGATAAAGGTTCCTCAGATTGCTTAAGGGTTCTAATTTGGTTGGTCGGATTCTTGTGAAATTGTTGGAAGGTTGATGCATGTATTTCAACTTATTCCTTGAGCAACTAGGCAAGCGTAGGATGAACTCTGTTATGCTTCCACTCATGCTGTTGTTACCTACATCAAATTCTTCCAAGCTACATAGGTTCTTCAGGTTTGATGGTATCATGCCCACAAGGTAATTTGATCCCAAATCAAGCTCTACTATGGAGGTCAGATTACCTATCTCGTCCGGAAGTTGGCCATAGAAACCATTGCCTCCAATATCTAGATACTTGAGGCTAGTTAAACCCCAAAACCAGTTGGGTGTAATGTGTCTAGGGAAGCTATTGTAGTAAAGGGCAAGTGTTTCAAGAGATGTCAGGTTTGAAAGTGGAAGTGAAGCAGGGCTTGTTCTAAGATCGCAACTTCTAAGAGAAAGAACGTTCAGAGATGGAAGCATGTCCACAACCGGAAGCCAGTGAACAATTGTACTGAGGTTTGTGCCGCTCAGGTCCAGGTACTCGAGGGAAGTTAACTTTGACAACCAGGTGATATCCTTGGAGTATGTGCCAGCACCATAGGCGAGACTTAAGTAGTGTAAGTTGGAGAGATTACCCAGCTGTGGTGGTATCCTTCCAATGAAGCTTGAGTCTGATAGGTCGATATACGTCAACATGTGGAGAGAACCCAGGAACTCAGGTACTTGCACCCCATAGAACCCATTGCAACTGAGGTCGAGATACTGTAGATGTCGCAGGCCAAGCACCGAGGAGCTAGCACCTGCCATCTCACATCTCTGGGGAAGTCGTCACAACCAAAGCCCCAGAGATCGAGCTCGACGACATGGCTGTTTCTGCTGCTGCAAATAACGCCCTCCCATTTGCAGCAGTCATCACCCTTCCATGATGAAAGGAGGTTTCGAGGGTCCAAGAGGCCTGCTTTGAAGCCAATGAGCGCAGACCTCTCATCGGCGATACAGCCGGTGGCCGTGTCGTTTGGATGCGAAGATGATGAGGATGACTCTACAAACCCCTTTACTTTGATGAGCAAGAGAAGGGCACCTAGTAGCACAATGTGGATTTTGGAGAGTAGGAGCTTGTCCATCGGTGCTTTTTCCATGGATCTACGCTCTTCTTGTTGTAGCATACACACACGCCATTTGTTTGTTATATACAGTGGATATTATTCTACAATATACGTTTCATTTTCTCCTGAAAACAAAGGATAGAGATTTCTGTGATGCTGACCTGCCATAAATGTGAGTACAGCTTTGAGGAGAAATTTCTACATGTGAAAAGGAAACTGCCGTCCATTCTAGACGGAATTCCATCCATGTTCAGACTGCTGACTGAATGAGGTGCACAGCAAACGACGACCCGGGTATGATGACTTGGAATTCCAGGCATCAAGGTTGCTTTCACGTTGCCGTATACGGCAGGGCCTCCGGCCATATCTTGTGGGAAGTGAATGAAAGCATCAGAACCACATACATACCTCAAGGTGAGTGATGCAGATCATATCCGATCCTCTCGAATTATTTGTGCAGAACGAATGAGCCCACCAGAAAATCACCATTTCTTTTGCGGTTCAATGCTTGCGAAGTTGCGATTGCGATGTATGTGCACAATCAGTCAAGCATGCAATTTCCATGGCTGCTATTTCAGCAAGCTGCTATTTACAACGACAGACCCATGTTGATTGATGAACTGTCATTCACTCACTCACTTGCAGGCCGAACAAGTAATGAAACCGGACGGCAGGTACTAGGAGCTCACGGAGGGCGGCACGCCATACATGACCAGGTTCTACGACTGCTGCAGTGCTGAGGACCCTGATGCCCCCAGCTTCCACCTCTCCTACGTCGCCCCCAGAGTAACCAACCAACTAGTACGCTTGATTCTGTCACTATGTACAGTAGAGCAAACACCCCGCCAGTCATATGGATTTTTTTTAGAAAAGGAGGATGACTCCCGGCCTCTGCATCTGGGCGATGCATACGGCCACTTTATTAATTATTCTCACAAGACCTTACAAAGTAATACCACAGTAAGACTAAAGCCGCCGTCTAAGCAACAAACTGTCGCTACACCTATCCAGTTGATGAAGGGGCGCAGATAGCCTGGGCCTAATACCAAACAGACATCGCAGCCAAACCTAAATCATATGGATTGTCTGATGAAATTAAACAAACCAAAATCAACATAATAAAAATCCTATAATGTAACACCAATTGTGTTTGACACTCTTGCACAAACTAAATTCTGGTTGAGAGTAATCCTAGCCCTATCTTTCTGAACAAACAGGGTGACTTTGCATCATTTCAGTAAAATTTTGGCAGGCACGCCGACACCTGTTGCAAAATTTGGCCACCAATTAACTTCACAGATTGACACACACACCCGGAACAGAGGACTTGGTGCTGCCCCTGGCATTATTCATTACACATCAACTTTACATGCCCAATCCTTATTCTAGGGCACAATCCTCAAATACATATCTGTGAAAAATAGTAGTACAATACTATAAATCCCCACATCCTACATGGTAGAAAATGGAGAACCAGCGTGAGCTAGCGATCGTTCTCAGCTTCTGCGGGTTTTTTTTTTCTTGTCCAGGAAATCCATGTAACGGCCACTTGCACATAGACCCAATCACACAACCTGTCCCAGATGGAGTACCACTTAACTCGCCATTTCCTCTTGAACAAGAAGGTACAGAAGACTACCCAGATACCCATCACATATCCAGAACCTATAGCGATGAGAAACGATGCCACGTCACTTAAATCTTCATGGTGTTCTTGAGTAGCTGGAATTGGTTCGGGTAGTGAACATTTCTGCGGCAGAAGAGGACCGCAGAGGCCCGGGTTGCCAATATAAATATATTCTGGGTCCTCAAGTGTTTGCAGTTGATCTCCGGATGGTATCTCTCCTGTCAGGTTGTTATAGGAGAGGTTCAAGCGGCTTAATGACGTGAGAGCCGATAGGATTGCAGGGATTTCGCCAGACAACTCATTGTGTGATAGGTCGAGTGACTCCACTTGCGTCAAGGCGCCAATATTCCCAGGAATTTTTCCGCTGAAGGTATTCCATGATAAGTTCAGGTTCTTCAGCTCGACAAGACTGTTGATTTCTTTGGGAATATCTCCAATAAGATTATTACATGATAAATCAAGATTCACCATATATATGATCTCTCCTGTATATAATCTCTCTTGACCCTTTGTGACTACAGTGAAATTCTCTGTATAGGTGACCAAGTCATTATAATGAATTGACAATTCTTGGTATGTGTAGCCATCTGTCCATCCATGACCGAAGTTGAAAGCAGCTTGAAATGTATAATCATCGTCAAAATGATCACTCGCAGCAGTCATCCCTTTGAAGTTAACAATAGATTTCGGTATGATCCCCGTTATATTATTGTAGGCAAGGTCCAAATACTGAAGATTAACTAGCCCTGTTAGCTCCTCTGGAATGTGACCATAAAACAAATTCGACCGCAGCCGTAAGAAAGCCAAATATGGCAATTTCTCAGGAATCCATGTTGGCAAAGTTCCAAAAAAATGGTTGTGTGCAAGATCAAGAAAGACAAGTTGTGGGCAGTGTTCGAGAAATGAAGGAAATTCACCCGAGAGGTGGTTGTTTCTGAGGCTTAGATTACGAATACCTGTGCCATTTATTGTGGATCTATTAGCAGAACAGTCAGGAAATGGTCCAGTTAGCTTATTTTTGGAGATATCCAACAGAAGTAGTAATTGCATTGTGCACAAGGAAGAGGGCATGGCGCCAGGGATGGAGTTGTCAAATAGAATAAGTGTTCTTAGTTTCGGTGCTCCAAAGTCTAATGGTAATGGCCCATCTAAATTATTTCTACTAAGATCCAACTCAGTCAAATGAATGGGAAGCTTAGGTATTTGGCCACTGAAAAGGTTAGAACTAAGATCAATTGCAACTACTCTTGTAAAATTCATTGTAGAAGGTAAATAACCGCTAATTTTGTTATGTTGCATATTTAGAGCTTTAACAGTGGAAGCCGTTATCCAAAACCAATCCGGCATCATGTCAGATATGCTTGTGTTTGAGATATCAAGATTGTCTAGACATGTTAGCCATCTAAGCCATGATGGGAATTTAGGCCCGAGAAAGCATGACCGAAGTTCGATATTCGTTAGATTTGAAGGAGGAACCCATGTCGAATTCACTGCGAACATTATAGAATCATTAGACAACCACAAACTCTCCAAACTTTCTAGGCCTGAGAAATGACCTTCGTGTACGAAACCATCTAGGTTATTGTAGCTCAGATCTAGTTCGGTTAGCTTTGCGAGCTCTCCTATCCACAGTGGCATAGGACCAGCGAGCTTGTTATGACTGAGATCAAGGCTGATCAGATTGCTTAACGGTTCTAGTTTGGTTGGTAGTCTTCCTGTCAAATTGCTGGAAGGTAGATACAAGTGAGTCAACTTATTCAATGAACAACTAGGCAAGCGGAGGAAGAATTCTGTTATGTCTCCATTGATGTTGTTTTCCTGTACATCGAATACTTCCAAGCGACATAGGTTCTTCAGGTTGGATGGTATCATGCCTAGAAGGTTATTCCGTGATAGAACAAGCTTTACTATGGAGGTCATATTACCTATGTCCTCCGGAAATTGTCCAAAGAAACCATTCCCTGAGATATCTAGGTACTTAAGGCTAGTCAAACCCCAAAACCAGTTAGGTGTGATACGTCTATGGAAGCTATTGCCAGAAAGGTCAAGTGTTTCAAGAGAAGTCAGATTTGAAATCTGAAGTGAACCAAGGTTAGTTCTAAGATCGCAACTACTAAGACCAAGAAATTTCAGAGATGGAAGCATGTTCACCACCGGAAGCCAGTGGACAATTGTGCTGAGGTTCACGTAGCTCAGGTCCAGGTGCTCAAGGGAAATTAGTTGTAACAACCAGGTGATATCATTGGAGTATGTGTAAGAAGCGAGATTTAAGTATTGTAAGTTGGAGAGATTACCCAGCTGTGGTGGTATCCTTCCAGTGAAGGTTAGCCCCGATAGATCGAGATACCTCAACTTGTGGAGAGAACCCATGAACTCAGGTATTTGCATGCCATAGAATCCATTGCAGCTGAGGTTGAGATAATGTAGACGTTGTAGACCAAGTAGTGAGGAGCTAATGGTGCCTCCTAGCACTTGCGTCCGCACATAGAGGTTGGGGTCACAACCACGACCTGGGAGATCGAGCTTGACAACATGGCCGTTTCTGCTGCTGCAGTGGACACCCTTCCATCTGCAGCAATCTTCAGCTTTCCACGATGAAAGGAGGTTTTCAGGGTCCAAGAGGCCTGCTTTGAAGCCAACAAGCGCGAACCTCTCACGGGGAATACAGCCAGTGCCCGTACCGTTTGGATTGGCAGAGGATGATGATAACTCAACAAAGCTCTTGCATCGGGTGAACAAGAGAAGAGCATATATAATTACTATGTAGATGTTGGAGAGTAGACGTTTCTCCATTGGGGCTCTTTCTGTGGTTCTAAGTTTTTCTTGCTGTAGGATACACATGCCATGATATGATATATATATATATATATATATATATATATATATATATATATATATATATATATATGTATGTATGTATTTATGTATGTATTTCATTTTCTCGCCAAAATATAGCGAAATCTCTAGAGTGTGACATCGTTGAATGAAATATCTACAATGCTGACCTGCCAACCGGAGAAGAAATTTGTACGTGTGAAAAGGTACGGTGCTGGCCATTATTTCTTGACCATATGCTGTCCGTGTTCACAGAGTTTCCTCTCTTCTTTCTTCAGACATTAATGCGCACAACAACGACATGCTCCCCTTGTGTGCATACAGATAATAACATATTAAATATTGATATGATCTCTAATATGCATCTTTGAGTATTAATTTTTGTATGCGCATGTTAGTAGAAAGTTATGATATTTCATATAAGAATATCATGACACTCTAATGTTAATAACTTCATCTTTTGATCCTCTCTATCTTTTTTGTTTGCTTGTGTGTTTGTGTTGTCAGAATAAGGAAAAATTGCATGCGGACCGATGAGACTAAGTAAGCATATACTGACTTGGAAGTCCAAACGATTAAGACATCAGCTGACCCAGATGCCATCCTTTCGTCTTGTTAGTTTGAGCAATGGGGTTTTCAATTTCCCACCTTGTTAGACGTTCACACCTAGTTACTCGTCCACCAGCACTATCCATTGCCCATGGAGGGATAAGCTCGCCGGCACTTGGAGTTGAAGGATCCCGGCGGTTCCTATATATGCAGCTCATCAACAAACATCAGCCAAACGGTGATGCTACCATAGTTTAAAAAACCGGACCAGACATGCGGTCAGAACGGAAAAAACCGGAACCGGCGATCCCATCAGTTTTTTAAGTGCAGCAGACCGTTCGAGCAATCGAACCGAAAAAACCCGGTCGAACCATAACTGCTATGTGGATGTTGGAGAGTAGAAGCCTGTCTACTGGTGCCTTTGCCATGGATCTATGTTCCTCTTGTTGTAGGTTACAAACACCATGACATGTTGCGTATTCTCGTGAAAATAAAGAATAAAATATAGGCGCCATAACATTGAAATTTCTGCGATGCTGACCTGCTTGCCTGCCATTCTGGACCATATTCTATCCATGTTGACAAAGCTCCAACTCTTTCTCTTTAAAAGTCCAACTGATCGAGACATCCACCAGATTGATGACTGATGCATGGCTTGGAATTCCAAATGGTATAGTCCCATGTGCTAGTTTGAAATGTCCATGCCGACCTCTAAATCTAAAAATATTGAAAAATAGATAGCAATACTGATTAGAATTTTCTTACTAGTTCTTCTGCTGATGGTGGATCATATTAGGAGATACGTATTTTCATACATGTCTTAAAGTGTGGTGGGATGTTTAAAGAGGCAATACGCGGCTCCGGAGTGTGGCCCCCACTCACGGACGGCGATGACACCGTAGTAACATCATGCGGTTCTGTTGTTGCATGAATTATCCTGAACACTCGGAGCGTGATCAATTCATGAGTTTCTTACAAAGTGCAGAAACATGTGATATAAGATGTGTGGTAACTTTTCATATATTTTTGAGATGCAGAAGTATCTGGAAAAATCCCCGTTACGGATTGTTCTTCGCATGTCTACGAGTGTGGTTGGGGGTCTTCAGGGAGTAGCTATGCCACCAAAGCTTGCGTTGGGCCCTCATACATGTCTGGAAGAGTGGTGGCAGGTGCAAACTCCCGGCACGCGGCTCCGGAGTGTGACCCCCTTCACGGACGGCGCTGCCACCGGCACTTGGAGGGTGGAAATGGCCATGTCTGGTCGACACGGAGGGAATTAGTATAGGCTGGCCTATCACAACCAGGTGGGTTGGGCCCAGGCCTTGTTCTGAAGTGTTAGTATAGGCTGTCCTATCACAACCAAGTGGAGAAGTCCATTGGTCAAAGACATTCTAGCAAAAGTCAAATGCCTAGATCTCCGGATCAACGGGGCCGTAGGCTGGCCGGGAGCCTTAGGGGGGGGGAGGTAGCAATGCCACCAAAGCATCGCACCGGGTCCTCATACATGTCTTAACGTGTGGTGGGATGTTTAAAGAGGCAATACGCGGCTCAGGAGTGCCCCCCCCCCTCACGGACGATGATGACACCGTAGTAACATCTTGCGATTCTATTGTTGCATGAACTATCCTGAACACTCGAAGTGTATTCAATTCATGATTTTTTTTAGACAGTGCAGACACATGTGATATAAGATGCGTGGTAACTTTTCATATATTTTTGAGATGCGAGTCGGGTCAGTAGGCCTCCGAAACCGCACATCTTTGAGTCCTGTACGTTAGAAGGATGATAAGGTTTTTGGGGAGCGCTCTGCGCGACTACTGACTTCTTCGTCACGGACGCCCCGGACTCCGACGACTACTTCCCCGACGACGACTACTTTCCCGACGTCGACTACCTCCTCGACGACATGGGGGACACCGACCCCAAGTCCAGTGCCTCTGCTCCGGCTGCTGTCCAGTACGTGTTCTTGTTTTTCCTGTTAGAGGTCCTGCCACAGTTCCTTCTTCTAGTGTTTACCCTACACATGTTAGGATCTACCTCATATATGCATCTTGATCTACTGTCTGCTCGAGAGATGATCGTTTCTAGCTCATATGTGCAAATGTTATTTACCTTCACTTTGTCAAATCGCATGACTTGTTTTATCACTGCTATATTAGTCATGCTTTATCTAGTATTTTTGTTAATAAAATCATTCGGTAAATTGCTCATATTTCCATCAGTTTTTGGATGCTTCAACAGAGCAATTGGGAATTGATCCAATTAGCTTATTTTCAGAGATATCCAACAGAACTAGTGATCTCAGTCAGTTTGCACAACGAAGTTGGTATGGTGCCAAAGATGGAGTTATCAAATAGAGTAAGTTTTGCTAGATTTGGTGCTCCAAAGTCTAATGGTAGTGGCCCTGATAAATTGTTTCTACTAATTAAGATCCAACCTAGTCAGATGAATGGGAAGCTTAGGTACCGGGCCATTGAACTAGTTAGAACCTAGATCAATTGTATTTGATGTCAAAAACTCCATTGTAGATGGTAAATAGCCTCTAATTTTGTTCTTCCTAATATTCAGTATCCAACTTGGAAGCCATTATCCAAAACCAATCTGGCAGAGTGTCGGATATACTTGTGTTTGAGATAATAAGAATTTCTAGACGTGAGGCCTGCTTTGAAGCCGACAAACGCGGACCTCTCACCGGCGATACAGGTGGCAACCATATCGTTTGGGTTGGAAGATAGTGATGATGATAATGAGTTAATGACTCTACAAAGCTCTTGCCCCGAGTGAACAACAGAAGGGAAACTAATATCACTATGTGGATGTTGGAGAGCAGAAGCCTGTCCATTGGTGCTTTTGCCATGTATGTATGCTCTTCTTGATGTAGGGTATATGCACCATGGTATGCTATATATATATATATATATATATATATATATATATATATATATATATATATATATAAGTTTTTTTCTCAAAAATGACTATATATTACTCCCTCCGTTCCTAAATATAGGGTGTATAGTTTTTGGCACGGAAATTAAAAAACGCACATGGAGGGAAAATTTCATAAGTTTTGGGCAAGATTACACCTGACTAATTGGCATGAGAAAATAGAGGAGCTTGCCTAATATAAGGAAATGTAATCAAATCCCTAAATAAATAATCCAAATGAGTGGTGCAATGCAATACATCTTATATTTCGGGTTTTTTCTCAAAAATCTATACACCTTATATCAAGGAACGGAGGGAGTAGTATATAGCAGTTATACTGACCAATAGTATATGTTTCGCTGTCTCGTGAAAATAATGAAAGAAAAATCTTAGTTTGTATTATTGAGGTCTGTTTGAAGATGACCTGCCATAAATGTGGCTAGAGTTGGAGAAGAAATTTCTACGGGTGAAAATGATACCGCTAGCCCTTCGAGACTGTATTCTGTCCAAATTCACAAATTTCCTCCTTTTTTCTTCAAAGACCTAGTAGGGAGTACTGATTGATGGATACAGTGAGTGCACCAACGTGCTCCTTCCGTCCGTAGAGAGACGTCCTTCTACACGTTGATATTTATATCTTACTCCTACTAATAAAGGGATTAGTGCTTTGGGGAAGAAATTTCTATGGGTGAAAACGGTACCGCTGGGCGCTGGCCCTTCTAGACTGTATTCTATCCATATTCACAAATTTCCTCTTTTTTTCTTCAAAGACCTAGTGGGGAGTACTGATTCATGGATACAGTGAGTGCACCAACGCGCCCCTTCCATCCGTAGAGAGACGTTGTGTCTACGTGTTGATATATATATCTATACCTACTAATAAATTAATTAGTGCTTATGCCCGTCGTTATCCTAATTACCCTTAAGTTGCTAAAAATTCCCCTCGGTGCTACCTATATAAGTTAAAAAAACGTTTCGTTCGCTGGTAACACCTTTCTTGTTCTGTCCCAAGGATGCAAAAATTGCGTTCAGATCTCAGAATGAAATGTGGCAAATTGAAGAAACTGTGTCTGCGC